TCCTCATTTTATGTTTATAAATGAGGTAGTTAATACATTAAAGATGAGCAACTTTCAGAGCTTCAGAAAATTTTAATAACTTATTATCAATGTAATTTAAGATTTGGGACATCAAAGGACTGAAATGTTGGGAGTTTATAACGATAACTGAATATTTTGATCCGGAGCACCCAAGTTAAATGAATAAGACTATTGTTGAATCAATGTGAACATTTGATAACCATGATAAAAAGAGAAGAGATAAGAAAGAAGACTCTGAAACCATATACGTATTGTATGTGCATCAAAATTGTTGCCCCTATGTCACTTGAGTAATGTACATTGATATTGCAAATATAGTTCATTTGATTTAGATCTCTGCGTAGTGATCTGAGTCACTTAGGGTTTCCAATGGAATTGATTGTATCTTGTATAAATCAAATTTCTCCATTGTACTCATTAAGTTCATGTATAACAATGTTTTTTCAATTTGCAGGAAAATTATCGATAGATTACTTAACTACTTGATAGGAGATATGAAAGACAAATTGATTTTCTGCTGGGTAAGTAATTATCCCTTTTTTTTTTTTTTTATATTGTCAGCAATGATTGGAAAATAATTTACCAGAGCTCAATGTGCAAAGCCTAGAAACCTAGAATAGTGCACAAATTAGTAGCCTCACATATTAGGTTGAAGATCCCTGGAAAGCAAGCTATAAGATAGGGAAAGCATGCAAGTTGCTTTGTTCGAAAGGACCTGATGCTCGGTCTTGCAGAAAGTAGAGTAGTATTTGTTGGTCAAAAATCAAAATGCTGGCTTGCATGACTTTGTTACTTGTTTTTTGAATATTAATGTAACTGTAGTTTTCTGGACAAATCAATATAGTTCATAGACGTGTCATAGATTGGGTTGATTTCATTTTAAAAAAGATTTTCAACTAAAATAATTTTTCTTGTCTTTATATTATTGAAATGGATGCTTGGACAGTCATTGGTGCATGTCTATGAGCTTCAAAATCTCAATGCGTTGCTTATATTGCAGGATTTATCGTATTGCACTGCGTCAAACTTTAGAACCCTGGAGAATAAACATAAGGCATTGGTTTTCAAAGAGCTTAGAAAAGTCTGGGAGAGTTATGATGACCCTGACCTTCCATGGAAGAAAGGTGAATTCAATGAATCAAATACATTACTGCTGGATGATACTCCTTACAAGGCATTGCTCAATCCTGTAAGTCGATCACCATTTCTACTGAATGTTTGGTAGATGTGACCTTGATAAGTTCTTGCATTAACCTTTCTTCTAAACATGTGATTCTTGCACAGCCTCATACTGCTATTTTCCCATACTCTTATGACTACAAAGATGGTGCAGATGATGCGATTGGTATGACTCATCTGCTCCTTTGTTAATCTTACCTTAACTATCTTATTCTGGGTTAATATTATGCATGTTGCTTAAAAGTATGCATAGATTTTATATTTTTGCAATATTGTCCTGGTCACATCCATTATACCATTATTTTGGCAAAATTGGCTTAAACACCCTAAATTATAGCTTGGGTGCAGCCAACACCCCGAACTTTGACTAGTTACTAGAACACCACCAACTATTGATTTAGGTGCAACGCGTGTCATCAATTACCCTTTATTTTCCAAAAATATCTCAGTTTAAGTGCCCAAAAATACCCATTAATGTCACTCATTGCACTCAAATCAACAGTTGGTGGTGTTTCAGCTACTAGTCAATGTTCGGAGTGTTTGCTGCACCCAAGCTATAGTTCAGAGTGTCCTTTGGTAACTATTACTCTATTAGCTTATTATGGGTATGATGAAGTGTCAAGTGAATAATGCATTGGTCATGTTTCTGAACTTTCTGTAGCATAATTCTGAATTAGATTTAGCAAAAGTTAAACTAATTTTCAATTGGGAAGGTTTTAAATTTGCATCCTGAGCATAGAATAATGCAATTACAGGTCCAGGAGGGATCATTCGAGAATATCTGGAAGAACTAGCTATGGCTGACAATGTACAGGAATATATAGAGCAACATCCATTTGGTCAGAGCGCTATCACTGAAAGAAGTTTGTCCTGGCAATTCTATGACAAAGTTATCAAAGGACAGAGTGCAGTGGCAGCCGGGGGTTAACCTGTTCTATCTTTTGGTTGTTCAATATCGAATTGAATTTTAAATATACCTCACCTCATTCAAGAAATTTTGCTTCTGTTCATATCTTGCCTGATGTGTTTATATTCTGCACCTCACTTTTCTTTTGTTGCAATGTAACAAAACACCATTTATATAGGAAGCAGGCTGAAATATAAATTATTTTTGAAACCAATTTAATCGACTACTCCATACTACTCCCTACTTCCTCTCAAAAAAAAAAAAAAAAAAAAAAAAAAAAAAAACAAAAAACAAAAAAAAAAAGATTGAAAAGAAAAGAAAACATACTACTTTCTACTGGGATCAAAGAGCTTTTGCATTCGGTGTAACTACAGTAAGGTATATAGTGTCAGGCTGAAGAGTAAGAGTGACCACTTCCAGGCTCTGGGATTGTAAATACTCCGTTATTAATTAATTTATTTATTTATTTATTTTATTTATTTTTTTATTTTATTTATTTATTTTTTTTTTTGACAAAGAGTCATTAAATGATGATTACAACCTAAACTAAGTAAAGAAAGCAAGATTACACGATAGAACATTGGGGGTCGGACCATACAACTTCTTACGATTAGGAAACAAGTATACCCGTTGGGACATGATGCTATTCTTTTAGAGCCGCTTATCCTGCAAAACAAAGAGTTAGTAAAAAACGTGGGAGATCTACTTTGCAAAGTGGCATATTTCCTTCTAGACCTGGGACAGGGAGACGAGACAAAACCTAACAATATTTCAGAGCAGGAAGTTGTTGGGTGAACGGAAGTCTACAGAGGGGAAGAAACCGGCGTAATTGGTAGGAGTGTCGACGTAGCTTCGCATGATGACTCGTGACTTGCCATACCTATGGTTGGATCTTCTAGCATCAAATCTGGAGTTGTTTCACACCTAACGTGCCCTTTTACATGGGGGTGACTAAACTCCATTGGTGTAGAAACTTCTTGAGTTTCACCACAATCTATCATCTTTGAAGGATTGGCTACTCGGATGGTAATGAAATTCTTTTGGAGAGAACAATAGTATTGTATTGTTCGCCCTTTGGAAATCGCTCCATATATTGTTGGAGTGAGATGCAAAAAGGAATCAATTCGCTTCCGACTTGGAGACCGAAAACTTGACCCTGTCAGATTTGGGTTTTTTGTTTTGGAAGTTCCCTTCAGGACACAATTGTTATCAATAATGTTGGGCCTAAGATCTTGGTCGGTAGGGTTGACTTCACCCTCCAAATCCAAAGAATTGCCATCAACATTCTTTTCCATTTTGGTGCCGTCTTTCACACCTACATACCTTTGAACATGACCATCACCACGACCATCTCCTTCCTTTCTTTTCCCTTTTTTTTTTCCTACCTTCCTACCATTATTCTCCTTCCCACAATGAACATAATCTCTAAACTTCTCATCCTCCCTTGTTACTGCAAGTGCCTCACCAACAAAATCCAGGGACCTAAAAATCACCTCCTTTAGTTTTTGTTGGAACTCACTGTTATTGGAATCTATTTTAAGGGCTTGTGCAAGATCCATGAAAGCTAAGGTAGGTTTACTGAGCTCTAACGCTACACTCGCCCTTCTGAAGTAAGCTTTCACATTAGAAGGATCAAAACACAAAACCGCTAAACATAATTGACCCACTCTATCATAGTCTACCACCTTGATGAAGCTAGCACCCAAGTTTAGATTAAGGGACACAACTATGCCCGAAAACATCAATTTATCTTCATCACTACAAATTGAAGCAAAGGACAACATCTTAAGATCAAGAGAGTATTTTGCAATAGCAGACCCATTTGATTCTGCTTGTAGAACATGTTTCCCTCATCTTTTAAACTCTTAACAAAATTGAGAATATCAAACGGATTCTCCAACTGCCCAACTATAAACTACCCATGAGAAGAGACATCATTGTCTTCAACATGTGAAATACACAACATCCCCCTTAGTTCCTCAAAGCTAGCCATAAAAACTTAAAACAAAACATATTAAAACACCATAGACAAAGCTAAAACTTATCCACTAGGCTTTCCCTTAATTACACAAAAGTATTGACCATACCAAGAAGAAGAGAAAGTTGGCAATGAAGGAAACCCGTACTCCGCTTCGTCTTCACCGACGGGACAAAAGAGGTAATGTAACACTCCGACCCCAGACAAATTAGGGAGGGATCTATTGTCACGAAATGCGCATCAAGGGTTGAGAAGTATCTTAGCATATGAGCTCCCTAAAAACAAGATGCATCTTGTTAGTATGAGTAGTATATTAAACTGTTTTTAAAGCAATCATGAGGGGTATTACAGGTAACTACTGGTGGCTAAAAGAAGGCGCTGAACTAGTGCACCTTTGAACCTTGAAACAAGAGGCCGAAGAAGAATTCCCCAATTGAAATCCTAACTCTAACTATACTCCAAAAAATCGAAGCGTATGGATTAGTCTTAGGAGAAAACGGTGTCTAACCAAGCTCGGAACCTTCGAAGAATGCTCACCGGTGACCTTATAAGAGCAACGACACTCGGGCTCTGTTTTGAAGAGAGAAGGCAAAACTTTTTTTAGAGAGACAATGTTCTAGTTAGTGTTCATTATAACATGTAAGTGCATCACAAGCAATTGGAGATCCCAAAGTAGTGAAGTTACTCCTAGCATAGAACATCAAGTCAAGAGATGACATTCAGAAATAGCTGAAAGTTTATTGTCTTTGCATATGGTACAACAAATCTGGCAGCTGCTGCGAGGAAGGGGTCGTGATTCCTTTCATCTGATCACCTTTAATCGTTGTTAAAAAGGGGTACAACATTATACATCACTATTTTTTCTCTTTTCCTTTTTGACAACAAGACATGAAAATAAAATATCTCAAACTAAACTTCAGAAGACTATAAGCCTTTTCTCATGTTTATATTGGTGCAGATAGCACTAAATAGCAAATTGTTAATTACAATAGTCAACAACTGACAAAATTACAGAGAGAGAGATAAGTGTTACATGAGTAGAAAAAAAGAGGAAAAAGTAAGGAGATGTTTTAAAAAAATTAAAAGGGCGCACACTAACAGTTAGCTATAAGCCTAGCTCAGCGAAAATATTTCTTTCAATAATATCTTCATCAGCATCTTTCATTCTCGCTAATTGCTAACATGAGTTCTCCAGCAAACTCCTTACCAACCTTGACTAACTCAAATTAGCATTTTCAGATCAGCATAAGTAAAAAGGCTATACACAAAGGAAATTATCGGCCAATTTCATGAACGGAAAAGTAATGTTAAGGCTGTACAAAATGTAGGAACGTCGAACACATGTTGCTGCACAAAGATAAAAGTACAAAGCATTAGTGCATGAGGCTTCAAGGCACAAAATGAAGAGTAGAAAATTTCTAAAAATTCTACCGATTTTCAGCTCTGCTGGCTATCCTGGGACGAATCCATACTAACAATGAGAGGCTGTTGAAGATCCCCTACCAGATCACCTGAGATAGGCAGCTCGGAGCAGGACAGGGTATCTTCATTCTCATTTTCAGCTAATGCATTTTCTAAAGCAGTCTTTGCCACTTTAGTTACACAAACCATCAATATCACTGCAAGCAACACGAACTATCAAGATGATGCAAAGCAGAATTGTGCTCAATTTTCCATTTACCATTCAAGGATAGTCAATTTACAGTAACTTAATACGAAAGTTGCAGAGCATTAAAATTATTCAACACAGAACAAACATAGCTAGTTAAAAATATCAATAACAAAAAATTGACCTTGATGAGCTCAAGCATGATAGATATACTCATACTTTTCATTCAAAATTGGAAACCTTGAAAATTTCGTTCTGATGTTTGGATTATTTATTACTTGTATAATGCAATATAGAAGTATAGGTTTGGTCTAAATCATCAAAATTCAGAATACATACGCCATTAGAATTTAGAGCACCTCTAATAACAATAACATATAAATAATATCAGATATTTCATTGGTTTGCACATTGTCGATGAATCGAGATATAGATAGAATAAATCAGTGCCACTGCTTATAAAACGCAGAAGAGGCATCTACGACAACATACCTGAAACCACAATACTTGATACAAGAAATACCTGCATCCACAATAACACTAATTAGTTTAAATTCCATAAAAGGAGAGAGAGAGAGGGGGGGGGGGGGGGGTGGAGCAAAAGCAGCCCAAGTAGAGGTCATGATTTAGACAAAGTTGGAAGTAATCAAGTAAGCAGGAATCCTAACAAGTTAACACAAGTAGTATTGCCAGTAGATAAATCACACTTTCAATAAGATGCTGAGACCAGACCACTGGAACATACTTGTAATAACTATAACAGCCATGAGCAAGGGAAAACGTTACTTTCTGAATCGTTGAAATATCCAAGCACAAAATACCAGATCTTACCCAACGGGAGGGAGAGAACTCATGCCATCCATGCGTGATATCTGAAAGATCCTTGAGAGTTGTTCCAACATACACCAACGCAAGTGTTATAGGCTGTAATCAAAACCAAAAAAAAAAAAAGCATTTATTAATTAAATTTCCCAAAGAAAGGGGTTGGTAAGTCGTTATAAGAAATAATAACACCTTAGGTTGTAACATAATTTGAAATAAGAATTCAAACACGTTAAAAGATTATCTGATCACCAATGTTCTCATAAGAGTCGTAACCAAAAGGCAGGGCAGCCATGCCCACAGAAATCAAAGCTTTTGCAAATTGAGAATTCAATACTATAGTCCTACTAACACTTTGTTTGGATAGAAGGAAAAGAAGAGAAGATAAAGGGAGGCGGACAATTTCTCTTATTTGGGTAAAGGATTGAGGGAAGGAAGGGGAAGGAGAGGGAAGGATCAATTTTCCCTCTCTCTTTAATAAGCATAATCCCTCCAAATTTGGTGAGATTTGGAGGGAAAGTGGAACACAACTTTCCCCTCCCTTTCTCTTCCCTCCCAGTCTTCTTCATTCCCTCCTCTTCCTTTCCTTCTTCTATGCTATCCAAACAAAGCGTAAATGAAATAAATATGACACCGAATCCACATTATTTAAGCAGTTATCATGGTATGGGACAGACAGAGGGATCTTCACTTTGTCAAGGACAGTGTATCAGCAGGTTAATCAAGCTTTATGTAATATGCATGCATCATATGATGCACCTTTCTACAGTTTTACTGCTAATTTTTCTAGCGTAGAGGAATGGAAGATAAATTGGACAATAATCCAACTGAGCATTAAGTATACCATAAATTACTTTGACAAGAACTATATTTTAGGCACTATACCTTCTAATGGATCACTTGGTATTCTATAAAATCACCAAAGATAGTTTGCATAAAGACCATCTTGTAGAACCATCAACATTTTTCAGAAAGGGTCAAAGTAGACTCACTTTCAAGTCCTTAAACAGTAAACACTCAGTTGTTGCTCTTGTTGATAAAGATGAGCTATAATGAACATTGTTTGACCATAAAACTTCAAAGGAGAACCAGACTGACCAATTTTTACAGGGATGTACTTTACAGATAGAGAGTGCATTCTCATCCATGCAATCAATTCTATATACTGCAGTCAAAATTCTTAGTCCAAAAGACTTTTTTTCCTAGCCTAAGCTTTCTCTTCAAGCATAGAAGACAAATAAATACAAATATGATGATATCTTCGCGCACTCGCTACAACAAAAATTCTAGGGACCCAAGCCTAAAATAAAATGAAACAAAAACGTACAATCTGTAATATAACCGAAAAACAAGAACTGGATAGAACATACAACCAGATTTGAATAAACAGAGAGTAGAAATTACCAGCATCCCTAACCAAGAGGCCAGGACATATTCCCACAGGGGAACAGGAGTTACAGACAGGAGGTAGTTCAACATATTAAATGGAAGTAAGGGAACAAGCCGGAGAAGTAAGACAATCTGTTAACAAAAAAAAAGCACATTAACAAATGATGGATGAGTCAAAAAATACAAATTTAAAAAAAAAAAAAAAACAACAAGGCAAGCACCCATCCGTTGTCCACCACTCACCTTTTCCCCCAAAAGAAATAAAATAGACCCTCATCTAGAACCTAAAGAGAGGACACGATCTTTTTTGCAAGTTTAAAATGTTAATAGTCTAGCAAACTTGCATGCTATTCAGAGAGATTGCTAAAATAACCCTTGACCAAATGAGAAACAATAGATATTTTCGCTAAAAAAATTGATCATTTGGCTTCAACACTCAGACTCATCCAATATCGAAATAGCATGGTACATCACATATTCACAATTCAAGGTAAAATTCAAGAGCAAGATTAATTAGACAGTCTCACCTATTCTGCTATTTACTAATAAAACCTACAAGAATTTTTTATTAGACAGTCTCACCTATTCTGCTATTTCCTAATAAAACCTACAAGAATTTTTTTTATTAACTTTCAAAGAGAGCAAAACAACATCATCAAAACAATTCAAGTCCTCATGAGAGTCATGACAGAAGCTGTGATGATTCCTGCAGATTTAAAGACTAGGCCGTCATTTACTTAAACCATGTCAAAGTACAATTTCAGAATTTACCAAGGCAATGTTGTTGGCCAAGACTATAATCTGTACAATTACGGAATCAAGTCATCAAAGAGACGAATAATAAAAATACGAGTAAATTCTGAAAGACAACATTGAATTGAGCAAAGCCTATGTTGTACAGATTATAATTGAGATAGACTAATAAATCTGCAATCTAAAACACAAATAAACTTGGAACAGTAGGGGATTGAACCTACTGAACAAGAACCCGGAGAATGACAAATTCATACATTTAAATCCCTTGTTTTTACAGCACCTTCAAGAAAAAACAAAAACAAAAAAAAAAAAAAAAAAAATCAAGCCCATCATCCATAGAAAATACTTCCACCATGTTTTTTTAGTTGACACGCTTCGACTTTTAGCACTGTTCACAAACTCTACTTTGATTAGTATTTGTGAATTATTATAACGATAGAATAGTCATGTGGGATCTTGTTAAATCGTCTTAATGTATATTTTCATAATATTACCTTTTTATAATTTTGAATTGTTGAAAATTAGAAATATTAACCCGCTTGTGCATTGACAAACATGATAAAAGAAACTTGTCAACTAAAAAAGGACAGAGGAACTATTAGATAAAAGTTAAGCAATTCTAGATCACTTACTCCACTAGGGAGAGGAAGGAAACAACAATATTCAAGCCACTAAACTACTATTTCAAACCAACTAAGATGAAAAACAATTGATTGAGCCCATTATACTCCAAAAGTCCAAATTACAATATAAAGGTTAAATCATGGTCTCAAAAGCCCGAAAAGCTCCACACTGTCAACAAATTAACAGACATAACTTGGGAGTCATTAACACTCCCAATAACCTATGAGGCTGAAATACCGGGGACGGGTACGGCTGAAATATGTGAAAAACCCAAAATCCTCAATTGTACCCAAAATTTTTTGAAATGTCAATCAATATATGAAAAACAATAAAGGTATGGTGTACAGTATAATGAATCTCAAAAGGGGAATGTTTTTTTAGAATTCTCTTAGGGAAAAAAAACCTGGTCCAAATTGTTCTAACAAAATTAAATAACTTAACCAACAGGCCTAAAATTTCTGAAGAAATCTCCTGCACTTAATAATCCTGATTTTCAATCATCAGATACAAATAATAGCTACATGGCCCTCTGAATCACAAGGCAGTATTGCTACATTAGACTCTCCAAAGCAGTTACTCCTCGATCCATCTTGCCAGTCAGCCTATATTGGTATTAGATTTTTCTTGAGAATCATTATTGCACTAACAGTAAAAGGGCAGCCTCAGACCTACCAGTTTATCCATGTCCCACCTCATAAAGTCAAGTCTCAAGCAAAGAATTGTATATATTTTGGTTGGTTGTAATTAGGAAAACAAAAAAAATCTAGCAATTTTTCAAGCCCACATTAAGAGTCAGCTAACACATAACAAACCGATTACACTATTAGTAAGTTCCCCAATCTAATAATAAAAAAATAAGACTAAGGAGTCATGAACCAAGTATTAATATAAAATGTATATTAAACCACCGTTGAATGGAATTTGCCAAGCAAATGACAGTGCTCAACTATTCATTCATACCTTAAAGCCAGATCTTTGTATAGCAATAGCAACAGCCCGAAACTTAGGGTAATCCTTGATTTTAGAAATCACAAATGACCTTCCAATCTGCACACATGATTCAAAGGTAGATAAATCCATGCACCACATTACAGAAGTAACTAAAGTATATCCTGCTATAGGCAGAACAAAGAAAAATGTAACTAACTTTCAGAATGTATGCAATGAGGTACCAACAATATACCATCACATAAGTTCAAATTCAAAACTCACAATGACATATGAGATTCAACTAGATACAGGAATTATATTAGTGTAATATAGCGAAGTAAAAACTACATACAGAAATTATCCGCCCCTTCACATATCAAATTCCAATTAAAAAAAAAAATAAGATTAGGTACTCACAGTTCTTCCCAAAAGAAAAGCTGCAGTTGCCCCCAATGTAGCACCTACAGAATCAGCAACAAAACCCAGAAGCAACCCATAAAGATAGCCACCACCGAGCTGCAAAACGGAAAGTCCAATCAATACAGTAGTATCAAAGACAGTGACTCGGGGACAGGAAAATTCAGACAAAGTTTATTCAAAGTGCAGACAACAAACACGTCCTTTAGCGTAAAAGATTAGTAGGAAGGCTCGATATCTAATGGTAAATCATAATGAGACATTAACACCTGACTCAACCATTTGTGCTACTTCATCTTTTTAGCATTTAGGCACGGAGGGCAAACTGAATAAATGTTAATATCAGCTATGATATATTATTTAACCTTTCCCCTCAGTTTCATCCAAAAACTTTCTCAGCTTCAATGTAAGGGTCCAAGAAACTCTTGCAATATGTCAAAAAAAAAAAAAAAAAAAAAAACCCTCAGAGGTTGCCTTTTTTTAAACCTTCATCAATCCAAGGGTAGTAAGTATAAATTCAGTGATTGGGCAGGCTCCAAAAACATTTAGAAGAGCACATCAGGTCAATGACTAATGCATTTACACTAGAAATGGTTTATCAACACAAATTCCAATCTATCACAGAAGCAACACATTAAACCCGAGTCCACAGCAGAAATTGAATACATCACAATCCATAAAGCTACTCCCTCTGGTTTTATTTAAGCGCTTCATTTTGACTAGGCACGTATGCCGATGCAGATTTTTGACCAATTATATCTTCAATATTAATAAGTATAAATTATAACAATTGAATATTAACAAACTATTCATTGAGAAAATTCCAACAAATACCCACAAGATTATATTTTTTTCTTGTGTATAAATCACTAACATTGGTCAAAATAGGTCAGGTGAATAGTGCAAAATGTCCCAATGGAGCACTTAAAAAAATGGAGGGAGTATTTTGACTAATGAGAAACAAGTCAAATCAAGGAGAATCTCAAGGGGAAACTAGCATGTAACCTCTTTTGCAACAGAATGAAAATCAAATATTATTACTCGTAACTTACCGTGAGCACTGAAGCTGGAACTGCCAAAATAGTCAGAGGGATGTATGCAACAGCCCTATAAACATTAAAGGTGCACATAATCAGTCAAAATTAAACAAAGGCTCCAAGCACCAATAATATACAGTACTGAGATTCTGAGAATAAGGTATCGCATGTCATTCCAAGAAGGCAAGGATATATATATCACCACTTCAGAGAATAAGTTGATCCTTAGCTCAAACCTTTCAGACAAAATGCAAAATTTTGGAATGAGAAATAAACTAGGCTAAAAATCAGGGCAACGTGAGTAAGATATGACAGTTATTGATGAACTATGGGGTAATAATAATTCACCAATTACAGCCTATGCCAACTTTAGAAAGATTGGAACTTTCCAAGGTGTTTCTTTCTCTACACTTTTCACAACGATCCTGCAATGAGCCCCTCTTCCCTTTAGTACATCAACAATTTCCTGTCTTGCACAATGCTCTAAACTCTAACTATTTCACTATAAAATAACCCTGCTACCCTTGACTCTAATTCTCACATGTTATTACAATCCTGCCCTTATCTTTCCTTCTAGAATATGTAACCATTGCAGCAGGTCTAGAGAGTTCACTGCAGAACCTATAAGCAACTAAAACAAAAAGATCAAACAACTGCTTGGACCAGCATCATTATTCACAGTAATTTATAAGAGCTAACAAATGACAATACCAGGGAAGGAGGATAAATTTGGCATTTTATTATTTATTATAACACTAGAGACTAGGGATGTCAATGGCGCGGGCGGATATTGGCCTTCCCATCCCCATCCCTACCTAAATTTTTCATACCCATCCCCATCTCCATCCCCACAACGGGTCTAAAATTCCTCCCCATCCCCGCTCCAACGGATACAATTCTAAAACCATCCCCACCCCACCCCCCACTTGGATATCCACCCCCACCTAATCCCCACCCAAGACCCGCATAATCCCCACCTCCCAAATAATTAATATAGCTTACAATAAAAAATAAAAAAATAAATAAATAAATAAAAAAAAACAAAATCATTGTTAATGTTAAACACTTTTTTTGTTAATAATTTAAGTGTATTACAAAGTATTATATTTACTATTTTATTTACATAATTTTTTCATAAAAAAAAGGAAAATTTGTCAAAAATAAGCTAACCTTTCAAAAATAAGCAAACCTTTTTATTAACAAAAAATAAGTCGACTTTTATAAGGTATTTTCTCAAAATAGATTAAACGACCTGTAACCTACTAACAGGTGACTTTTTTTGTTTCACAAGTCCACACCCCTGATCAAGTCTCCCTTCACTCACCAGCCCATCGTCCCCCAACCACCAGCCCACCTCCACCTGTTCATGAATTGTTGGACGACGGGGATGTTTTTACGGTCGTTCAAGAGGGGCGGTGGATTTATTTTTGCGGTGCACAGAAGGCGAGCTAAAGGTGTCAGGTTGAGGCTTGAGGGCTATGGTCTGCGAGATAAAAGGTGCAAAGGTGGGTTTCATCGGCGTTCAAGGTGGGGGGATTGTTTTCGGTCATGGGTGGAGGGAGGCCGGCGGTGGGAAGTGAGAGTGAAAAGGGGGTCAGGGTGGGGGCAGGAATTAGGAGCGGAGGTCGGAGGTGGGGGGTTGACGGTTGCTATTTCCGGCGTGCTGGTGTACTATGGGGGCAGTGGTCGGCCAGCAAGGTGTGTAGAGGTGAGGGTGGAGGCTGGTTTGCAGTAGGGGAGGAGGATTTTCAAGAATATTTTTTTTTTGAAATTAATTAAAGTAATTTTAATTAAAAAAATTTAAAATGAACCAATCAACTTTTGACATGTGGCAATATTGACCTAAAGAACTGGTTACTTTCCAATTCAACCGGTTTTAACTCATTTTGAGAAAATATCCTATAAAGTTGACTTATTCTTAGTTAATCAAAAGGTTGACTTATTTTGATCTAATCACTTAAAGGTTGGCTTATTCTTGACAAATTTTCCTACAAAAATAGTATAAAATATAATTTTGTTTTCTAAATATATAGATGTGGGAATGGGGTAGGGCGGGTATGAAGTAGGGCGGGTCGAAAATGGGGCGTGTACGAAGTGGGGCGGGGCGGGGCGGGTACAACCTAAAAATCCACCCCCGCCCCACCACCCGCCAAACCGAGACCCATCCCCGCCCCATTGGGGCGGAAATGGGGCAGGTCTCCTACTTGACCCGCCCCACTGACGTCCTTACTAGAGACCCCCCCCCCCAAAAAAAAAAAAAAAAAATAAAAGTTTAAAGAACATCAACAATTCTCAACAAAATAAATATAAAATAAAATAACAGATTAGCATTTTATTTGATTTTGAGCGACAAAGAGACGGGGACAAAATAGGCAAGAGAAAGTTAATTTTTTTCAAAAAGAGTAAAGATGAGACAGTACAGAATTGTTTGAATAGCCAATCTGAAATGTTCCTTACTAGGAAAAGAGAAGGAAGAATATACGATTGGAATATGATAAACAATATATTTCACATGTAGAAGAAAAGTAAAGAATTCTATTCCATTAAAGGACAAATTCAACACGGAGGAAATAAGAGTCCTCCAAAGATCCATCAGATAAAAAGCACTAAAGCTACTAAATTACTAATGGCAGTTACTAAGTGGAAAATCTCCCTTCTTTGCTTCTACGACCCTTAAATTCCAACAATGGAGGACCAGCTAAAATCAACTATTATATCTTATTATTACAAGAAGTGACTGAACTATCTTTCCTTCTGAAGACAACTAAGTTATTCACGCATGTAGAGCTGATCCCATAAGCAGAAAACATGCTTCAGGGGACAGAATAGAGGGGGTGGAGCAAGGGTATTTTTTGTGAGACAAATAATACCCCTTTGTTGCAAATAATAAGAAATAGAGGTATATTGCCTCTTCCTCTTCCCTCTTCTTTATATTGCCTTTCAGTCCCCTGACCTCCTCCCCCCCCCCCCCAAAAAAAAAAAAAAAAAAAAAAAAAACCTTTATATTTGTGTTGTTTTCTTCTCTTATCCTTCCCCTCTCATATTTCCATTTTCTTCTCTTTTCTATTATTGGTTTGACAGATATTTCTTGAATTGGCATAATGTTTCTATTGTTTTCCTTAAATTTTCCTTTTCTCCTTGTATATTGTATAAAAATACAACAAGGCTTAAACATACAAGGAAGTGAAGGAACTCTTTTGTATTTCTAAGGAAACCTTTGACATCCTTGGATAAATAAATAACTTAACAAACACACTTATAATCTTCTCTGACAAAGTTAATTTGGCTGAACCTTCCCCCCCCCCCCCCAACAACAATAAACACTCCCCTGGGAAAAATAAATGTAGTCCACAATCAGAACTCAGAAATTAAGTTGATGTTTTCAGCAGGGGGATGATTTCAGATCCCTAGTTCTCTACAAAGTTAGTAAAATTGTCATCAAGAAAATACTATCCAAATGACATTATATGAAAAGCCAACTAAACAACCCCAAGGAAAGGATTCACAGGAATTTCAAATAATTATTAACAAATCAAGCATCTATTACAGACCATAACAAACACAGGACTTAAAGACTAAAAATTAAAAGTAAAAAGAAGTCAAAAACTAACTGTAAGGTGTAAAAGAATATAGCTTGAAGGGAAAAACAAATGCAAAACACTATCAGGCAAATTTGTTTCAGAAGTACAAAATCAAATGGCTTACAGAACTAAAGGCCCCCAATTTCCAAGGTTTTGATCCACCCACAATAGGAAGTCTCTTAATATCTGCAAGCAGAGACAACGATACAGCACATTTAACTTGACAAGAAAAATGTTGCAAATGCTACAAAACCAATAAGATAACAAAAACAGAAGAACTTTGAAGCCCAAAGTTAATCTATTCATATACCTTACACAGCATAGCGAACTATAAAGCCCAAAGTTAATCCATTCTTCAAATGAAAGCAAATTTACATGATAAGCCACATCAAATTTTATCAAGTTCAACTATTAATTTCAATCTATTTTTAATACCATAATGTCAAAGTAAAATCTACAAACAATAACCTCAAATAAGTAATACTAAGAGCTAAGATAAATCTAGAAGTATTAGTTCACAGCATAACTCAATACAGACTTTGACAAACTTATGGTAAGAATAATTAAGCTTTGAACAATCCAAGTTAAATTCTTCCAGTACACCAATTTTGTGATGGTAATAGTAATTTAATTAAGGAAATTATCCTTGATATAGAACCGTCATCATTGATCGGTTTGCTTGGAGTGTAACTTCGGACTTCATGTATAAAAATTGTAAATATAACTCAAAACTCAATTTCATTTCATGGAATCAATTATTAATCACCATTTCATCACTACAAGCAAAATTTCCCGGCATTAACAAAAATCAATCAAAACCAAATTCAAATGATTTTACTCAACTAGAAAAACAGAAAGTTGCAAGCTTTTACATTTTAAAAATCATAGCTCATAAATTAATTACTCCATTAATGGATCAAAATCATACACCATACATAATATATACTCAAAGTTGATAATAAACAAACCATACCCAAAATTATTCAAGCCCTAATCAAAACAAAACCAATCAAGAAACAATCAAAAGGGGGTCAAAGAAACACGACCTTTTCAACGGGGAGCGTGAAACAAGCTGTAGCAATGGCGACAATGAGGAGCAAAAGAAGGGTGATTCGAAAACAATTTAGCCATGAAAACTCCATGAAAATGAAAACCCAGAAATTCCAAACAAACCCTAAATTACTCCTCAGCAATTATGGCCTTAAAAAGTAATAACAACAAAATTTAACCCCATCAAAATTCAAAACATCTCTTTCAAAATTGTGGGTGTTTGTATTAGCCGACTGTTGTAGGAAATGGAGATCGGAAAGTGCAGAAGAAATTGCCGGTTTCCCAGAATTTTCTCTCCCCTAAGTAAAGAGAAATTATCTAAACTACGTTACTTTAACACGAAATTTGGTGAGGTGCTCCGCGTCGACGAATTGTCGTTACTTCTTGTCGGGTTTCTTTGGGAGTAAGGATTGAGTATATGATATTCAAGGAACAAAATCTCTTATATAATTGTCCGTGATCACAAATGACTGAATGAGTGAAATGACAAATGTCTTTTTGTTTGTTTTTTTTGTTTACTCTTTTTGTTTATTTTGCATTGGAAAAATCATGAGAGAGCCCCGATTCATCTTCACGATAAATAAAAATCATTTATCTAGTGGTATTTATGTAAATACTCCTTTCATTTTATATGAAATACAACACTAGGTTGTTCACAAAGTTTAAAATTTTATAGTGGATTGCTAAACATCGCCCGCAAATCTCTACATAAATACCACAAATTTTAGGGGAATTGACACTTTTGCCCTTATATGCTTAAAAAAAAACTCTCACACACTCTCATCTTCTCTCTACTCTCATCACCTCTCTCTAAAAAAAAATTTCAAACTACAATGTCGAGGCGGCAAGGCAAGGAATTGGCGGCAACGGAGGCGAAGGAAAGGCGGTCACACGATGTCAAGGTAATTTTTTTAAAAAAAATTAAAATTTTTTTAAAAAAACCTCGAAGAGGCGGGGCGTTTGGCTGGGACGCCAGGCCCACGGCGGCGGCACCCAAGCAGGACGCCACCACCGTGGATTTGGCTTCCCGGCCAGACGCCAGCCCCACGGTAGCGGCGGCTGATTGGGATGCCAGGGCCACGATGGTGGCGTCTTGCGTGGGCGCCGCCATTGTGGCCTTGGCGTCCTACTCAGCCGCCGCCGTCGTGGTCGTGGGGCTAGCGTCTGGATGGGACGCCAAGTACTTTTTTTTTTTGTTTATGTTTATATTTTTTTTTCATTTTTTTGTAACTTTTTTTTTCAGAATTTTTTTTTTTTTTGTTTATGTTTATATTTTTTTTCAATTTTTTGTATATTTTTATATTTTTTTTCAAATTTGTTGTATTTTTTTTATGTTTATATTTTTTTTTCAATTATTTGTATGTATTTATATTTTTTTTTTCAATTATGTTGTATTTTTTTTATTTTTCTTAATTTTTTTTATGCTTATATTTTTTTTTTTGGTTTTTTTTTTTTTCCATTTGTATGTATTTTTTTTTTGTTTAGATTTTTTTTTCAGTGTTTTGTAATTTTTTTTATGTCAATTTGTTAGTTTTTTTTTTGTTTATTTGATACTTTTTTTGGCTAGTTATTTCTAATTTTTGTTGTTTGTACTTAAAAAATAGATTATTAATATAAATAATAATAATTACAATTGCTATTATTTTTCGTTATTTAAATGGAGTTAGATATCGCATTTTCGACCTGGTGCGGGGAAGAGTATGGACGTTATTAGAAGTAGAAACTACTCAATGGAGAGCTCGAGGCCCAGACACGTTAGATCATGTGGTATTTCGGCCTCGGCTCGCAGAGAACGGGTTCACTACCCTGAGGAGGATGAAGATGATGATGGTGATGAGGAAGAGGAGGAGGAGGACGCAGATGAGGATGTGGTGCTTAGGATGGACGATCAGAGTGGACCATATGATGATTACGGTTCATTCAGTCAGAGGCTTGATGATATGTATGAGACGCATAGGGTAGATGTGCGTAAGGGTAAAGATGGTAGATTTGTTAGTAGATCTGGCACATCATCTGCGTCCATTGTGTCTGCGGTAAGCAGAAAACGGTCGAGGGCCGTTAATAATTCTTGGGTGGTGAGGGGTGAGGTGGCTGGGGGACCTTTAGACGGGAGTGTGATTCCTAGCTTTCCAAGACACATAGCTACCCGTATCTGGGAGGTCCAGGAGAGGGCTTTAGATACGGGCATTTTGAAATGCCAAACCCAGGAAAAGACTTGTAACTTTTTGTGTAGATGGGCTGAGGTTTGGCCGGAGGAGAACGAGATGTTCGTCCGATTGCAGAGCACTAGAGTGGGTCACCTTCCTGCCACCATGCACGATAGATAAGATTGACTGAACGCTGATCACGACTTTCATTGAGCGATTGCAGCCGGATACGAACTCTTTCCACCTTCCGTTCGCTGAGATGACGATCATGTTGCATGTCGTCGAGGCCATCCTTGGGATTCGCGCAGAGGGAAAATGACTTTCTGTTATGACCGATGCGGATCAAACAGATTTACTAGCGGAGCTGTTGGGGGTGGACAGGGTTGTGCTGTACACTGGGGCGCTTGGTGTTTGGGATCACGGCAGTGTGAAGATCGCATCCGTTTTGCAGCATTGTTTGCACCCCACTACACGTAGGACGCATGACACACAACTGGCTGCATATGTTTTTCTTCTCCTTGGGTGTACCTTGTTTCCGGATAAGAGCGGAAACATGCTCAGGCCACGCGACATAGTTGACGCGTGTGAGCCCGACAGAGTAGGCTAGTTTTCTTGGGGTTTGGCTACGTTGGCGTATCTTTATCACCAACTAGGATTCTCGAGTCGGGCTGACGCGGAAGGTATCACTAGATGTCTGACTTTATTACAGTCCTGGATATACGAGTATTTTCCTGCATTTCGACCACACCGCGACCCGGTTCCTATTGGTGATGGGATGCCACGTGCCTGTGCGTGGAGTTCGCGGTTCGAGAAGAAGTCCGTTGATCGCCTCCGATCGATACGGTTATTGCTTGACAGGATGTCCCCCTTAAAGGTAAAGTGTATAAAGTATTTCTAATTTTATATTGTGATGCATTTATTATATGAATCTTACTAATTTGAAAAAATGTGTGTAGGTGAACTGGATGCCTTTCGGCCAGAACCCTAGTAATAGGGTACCCAGGACCCTCTACACGGGACTCATTCAGTATCGTGAGGTCGTAGAGGCGTACATGCCCCAGCGCTGTCTTCTCCAGCTTGGATTTGTCCAAGTTGTCCCTCCTCTACCAGCATGGCCCAGTAAGGCAGTCCGATCTGCGTCGTCGAAGGAGTACGTCGCCCAATGCCGGGAAAGCATGATTGCCACGTGGGAGCAGTTTTCGATGGTTGCCCGCCTATGGACTGCGGAGCTGCAGAGGCCGCCAACTGGGGTGACTGCCATGTGTGACCAGCATTACATGGAATGGTACAGCCGGTATTCGCACCCGAGGTTGATCAGAGACCTCGACCATGGCGACGACGCCGATGATCATGATGTGCCACCGCCCACTGCCGTGGATGCGGTATGTCTCATAAAACATTTATTGTTGGGGTTTTTTTTTAGTATTATATATCGTTATTGAATTTCATGTTTTTTTGTTGTGTGTAGTGGATGGGAAAGATGATGCAGGTGGGACAAAGACTCTTTTAGGAGAGGGACAACATGACGACAGCATCAGGTAGAGCTGCTATTGATGATTTGGACCGGGCCCTTGCGCAGTGGCAGTGGGCGCCAAAGAGGGATTACTAATCTATTGGCAGTTTATGTATAGAACATTTTGTACATTATCATAGCAGTTTGTAAGATCTGACATTATTATTTAAGTTTGTAACATTTGACATTATCATTTTAAGTTTTTAAAATATGACATTATCTTTGTAGTTTGTAACGGGCAAATACTAATTAGTATGCATGCTAGATATAAATTTAGTCAAAATTAGAATACAAAAAATAAATGTCTGTATAAAAATAGCAACACAAATACACATGAAATACTATAAGGCAGCTAGGTTGTTCCATTGATGGATCCGGTCATGATACAGCACATCCCAACCCTCTACGCTTGGTGTGCGAATGGTGTACCACCGAGGTATGATCGGTGGCACTGGAAAATCGGATGACAGGTTCAATCGTATGAAATGTCTGTATGATGACCCCAGAAATGCAATAGCTAACTCTCTTACCGGTCTAGTGACGGTTTCATGCGAAGACCAAGGGTGAACCGTGGTACATGGATAATAAGCTCGACTATGCAAACCAAGCCCGAAATGCATGACTGCACACTTGTAGATGTTCGCAACGACAAAGAGATCAAGTGGCGTGTCGTACCAATGATTTTGACCGCAAGGTCCTCATCCCCACCGGATACGCCGTAGAGAACTATCCAAGTCTTGGTCGTACACATGACGATAAACATCTCGGTTTGAGGCAATTTCACTGTACATTAACTAACGCACTAAAGCGTAGTTGTCTTCATCGCCCTAAAACACATCAACCACAACCCGGAATCCGCAGTTACCATCTGCAACCACATCATTCCACCCGTCCAAGTATTCCATGATGATGTTAGGAATCCTGTCCTTGTATGGAAACTGATCAATATCCACTCTTCCTATTGAACATATCAATAAACACAATTAACAAGTCAACAGTAAACTCAACAAACATTCTAAAAAGTAAATTAAAGTAAAGTACTATACTGGTTCCGGGCATATTCACCAACGAAGAAGATTGGCTACGACTGGATGACGATGAACGACCACGGCCATGACCACGACCACGAATGTACTCAAACGCACTCCTGTTCCGCCGTGGTTTTCGACTTCTAGGTCGCTCGACCCCTTCAGGTTCCTCGTGATCCAAGCATGACGTGTTGAACATTTCATGAAATACGTGGGTAGCATCATGAATGATTGAAGGGTGACTGGAGGACACTCGGTCAAACATCGAACGAAACTGCTCCAACTCCTCTTGTTCACGGTTGATCGTCTGTGGAGCAGCATGCTCTCCAATAACGAGTGTCCGCCAGAATGGATGAACCTGATCAACATGTAACGACACCCTATCTTGGGTAATAACGCGGTGAATGGTTCATGCACAAGGTAGTTCATGAGTCACTGATATAGCACATCCGCCCCGAATAGCCACTTCATCACCCAACTCCTTCATCCTGTTGTGTTCGCTCAGAATCAACCCCAAGCAGTAGTGTGACACACGACCATGGAGAATCTTAAATATGAAATGGCAATACATCATACCGTGTCGCCGTCTAGAGCCCTCGAGAGAGTTCTTGATGCTGTTCTTCTAAGTATCAAAAGCCTTGTTTATTCTCTCAAACAGTGTATCCAGAGCAGAGGCAGAAGAATCAATCCAGTCCTTCAAAGCTCTATGAGCGCTCTCAACTCTACATGTAGTAGTGTTTCCAAAATGAAGAACTTAGTTTGTCCAATATTTGACAAACTTTTCCCTATGAGGTATCCACTGCTGTATCACATAGTTTACCACTGCCGGACACCATTGGTACGCATCCCTAAAGTTATCCAAGGCTCGATCGTACTCTGCCTCTGT